GGGGGGGGGGGGTGTGCTGGGCAGCCCCTACAGCATTACTAAGCCACGGGGCTCCTCCGAAGGCGGGGAGCGGAGTGGAGCCTTCAAAGGGCAATTCTTAATGTCAGCTGCCTAAAACAACCCTTTTGCATTCTTAAAAGTTTTGTATTTTAACAGACCACAGAATCACTTCCTCGTGGGGAAGCTGTGGAGGTAATGAAATATGGTGGCCATCACATGGCCACAGAAATAAATGAGGATGGCAGTGGATTTTGGCAAAACCTTGCAGGGGGTGTTACTGCTGTAGTGTTGAAATGAAGAATTTGATTCTGTTCTCTTAATTGTGATGCAGGCCAAACTGCTGAGCAGCACTGCAGTACTGGAGGCTCCGTGGACTGTCACAGGGGTCGTTAAAGACCAAGCCACCGGCTTTCTGCGAGTGGGTAAAGCAAAATTTTGTTTTTTTAAAAAAGCCAGGGGCAGCTGCTCTAAAAGCTGGTTGCTGCCCCGGCTGATGTGATGGTACGGCCTCTTCTAGAGAGGCCAGAGGTTCTGCATTTCCCTTTCTGGGACTATGCTTTGAAATTATCTTTAAAAAAAAAAAAAGAGATGTTAAAAAAACTAGGCCTTGCCATCTAAGGATATAACCGTAGCAGCCACACTCTACGGCAGGATTTAACTGTAATATCTGCTACGTGTGTGTAGGCTACTCTCTGCAGGAGCTATGAGGGGTGTACCCCTCCCTCAGCAATCAGAATTTCACGTTGAATGCTTCAGAGACTGGCAGAATCAGTCAAAAGCAGCATTTAAACAAGTAATTAAACTCTTCTTCAAATAAGAAGTATGAGAGGCAAGAAGAAACCCACGGGGTTCATCCTAGGTAAGGTGTTAATGCAGGGAAGTGCCGCCGCTGCTCTTCGAGGAGGCAAAGAGGAACAGGCAAGAGGCTGGAACTGTTACCGGTGCTGTAAAATCACCCCTGCTTGCGACGAGCGGTCCAAAGCTACCCAGTCTGTGCCCACGACCATCGGCAGGGAAGGACAGGTAGACAAGGACGTGGGCCCTGCTCGTCCCTGGGCGCTGGGGAGCAGGTCCTGCTGCGGGCAGGCGACGCGCGCTCCGCAGCCAGAGGCACACAGGCTCCTTCCTCAGCCGGGGCTGTATAAACAGGTACCATTTCTGATTTTATTTCATCATAACATACAGGTAATGCTCATGACACAACAAGATGAGAAACTCACATCTCTCCGAACCATTTCACCAGCTTGCCATACACCAAAGAACATTGTGTTCATAGTGAACACGTACACGTTTTCCCCCTCGCATCCTCCACTCTGCTTTCCAGACTTCTCCGCACCACTTCCAGCACTGTTGGGGTACATGACACAAGCTCAGCCAGGAGACAGGGCACCGCCCTGCGCAGGACATGGGGTTAAGGCTTCCTCCTCCAGGAATCCGTCCCCTAAAAAGACTGAGCCTACAAGCTTCGATTCGTTCAGCGTACTGGAAATCACGAAGAGCCAGAAGACCAGATTTCAGTTCCGTAGGAGGCCATTACCCGAACGGAACCCAAATGTACATATCTGTATGTATAGGGAGGAGGGGAGAACACAGGCGTGAAGGAGCACAAAAGAGAGGGAGATTCAATTTCTGCCTCTAGGGATTGACTTGTCTGAACCCCCATTAACCAATTTAAACCAAAGACATGGGCTTTGACTGAAATCTGGCCGAGAGGAGCACTGCTGCATCGTTTACATACCTACATATACACACAGAGAGCGTGTATATATGCTGAAAATAGTTGGGACGTACTCACTTTCGCTGGCTGTGCAAACAGAGACAAGCGGCAGTAGGTTTAACGACCAGCCAAGACCTGAGGTGCTTTCCAGCTCGCTGTCAGCCCGGCCCTTGCCCCGACGACCCCTGCTTCCAGCCCCCCGCACGCACATCCTGAACGCAGCCTCTGGGTCCAGCTGCTCCTGCTGCTGCCCCTCTCTCTCTCTCTGTGCCTTTTGTGCTTTTTAGGATCAAGTTAATCAACGCTGTAGCTTTCAGTGCTATGTTAAAACAGTCCGCCATAGGAAATGAAAAAGTCATGTCCTAGCCACAAAACAATGACAAAATCTTCTCCACTGTTCAATACAGTAAAACCTGAGATTTGAGTCACAAACTAGCTAAACTTATTAAAAAAACAAAAACAAACAAACAAAACACAAACCCAAAACATAACCCAAGCTGCTGACTTGAATCAGGGCTTCAGTTTGACGCTGACAGATTTTTTTTTTTTTAAAGCTGCTGGCCAGGGGTAAGTATTTATTACATGTGATATTTGTGCAATTTTCAGCTGCCTGCACTGAAATGGGACAAACCCCTACGGTTTGGCCCCGACAGTCGTGTTCTGCGGGGGATGGACAGACATCTCTGGGTGACCCTGCTTCGGCAGGGGGTTGGACTGGGTGACCCACAGAGGTCCCTTCCAACCCCCAACATTCTGTGATTCTGTGACATGACCACCTGAATTGCCCCCACCCCACAAGAGCAGCTCCTTAATGGTACTGCTCAGTTAAGGCCAAAAGCCCACCCCAACTCATTTTTAGCCTTAAAAAACAACAAAAAAGCCTTCAGGAGCCACCTATTGAATTGTCAGCAGGCAAGGAAAGGGTGTTGTGGTGTTGGACCAGCCACTTCTCTTGCACCTGACCCTAAGTGTTAACCCCTCCCTTACAGCTTAGAAGTCAAAGCAGCTATCCCTCTCCCAGAAGCTGGCTTAATATCAAAAATACAAACACTGCTTATTTTATGTTTCCAAAGACGGGGGGGAACAGTCATAAGCATGGTTCATTCGTCTTTTTTTTAAGAATTGCTGCTGAGCCAACTGAAACACTTGTGCGTGGACAGCTTTTTTAAAAAAAAAAAAAAATGTGGCTAGATTGTACTCTTTTCCCTTCTGTT